AAATATTAAGAAAAGGATGACGGTAAAAACTAAAACAACAGGAAAATGAGGATGACTTCCAGTCTCACTCAGCCTACGACTTACTTATTATACTTATTAATCGAATCTAGATCTAGATATTAGATCTAGCTAGATATCTAGAACTTAGACAACAATGTTAATGTTAATAGACCTAGATCTAGCTAGATTAATGAACTAGACTCTAGTACTGATCACTCAGTGATTACTGTTTAATATTTTAGAAGTAGGCCTATTATATATATTAGTAATTAGTTTATTAGAAGTAGCTTGTAGATAGATGGCTAGACTAGATAGATAATATCATAATACTAGATCTAGATCTAGATAGAGATAGTAGAATAGATCTAGATCTAGATTCTAGTTGCAGATGGTAGTATGGTAGGCCCTAGATCTAAAATCTAGATCTAGAGAATCTAGTAGATCTAGATAGATTCTAGATCTAGATTAGATCTAGTTTAGGTAAAACCTACCCTAGTTAAGTTTAGTAAGAGCTAGTAATGCCTAGTAAGGCTAACCTGTTTTTAATTTTAAATTAATTTTTTTATATCTAGAATCTAGACTAGATCTACTCTAGCTATTTACTAGATCTAGATCAGTAGCCAGTAGAGTGATTAGAGTAGTAGTAGAGTGTAGTGTAGAGTACTGTAGACTATTGTAGAGTGTAGGTACTAATAACTAGACTGAAACTAAATTAGACTAGAATCTAGATATCTAGATACATTTAGGGCTTACAGACTTATCAGACTACAGTGTTGCAATGAGTAGATCTAGTAATATATAGATTAAATTTAGTTTGAAATTGTTACAGTAGTGCTACTACTTTTCTAAGTAGTAAGTAGTGTAGACTACTAGAAGAGCAAGATGATAGATCTCCATCAAGCTACAATAGAGTTTAGTTAGTAGTTAGTTAGTCATAGTAATAGTACCAAAAGCAGTGTAAGTAGCACAGTAAAAAAAAAGTATTACTAGGCCATCTATTATTGTATTAGGCCCTTTTATTTTTAGCAAGTTAAAGTTTGGTTAAGTACTAGTCTTCTAGCAAGTTGCCTAGTAGTAAACTTATAAACTAGATCATGTGTATTAGTACTATTAGACTTGTAGGCTAGTCCTGTTAGTCTAGACCAGGGACTATAAAATCTACAATTGATAACTTTCGGCCTTTTAGTATAAGCCTAATTATTAATGAATTACAGGGTACAAAAATTAATAAATTGGTCAAGAGTCAGTATGGTTACAGTTAGCTGATTAATAGAATTAAGTTTTAGATCTATTGACTACAATTTTTAGTTACAAGTAATGAAAATGAAACTAATAGTTTTGTAATAGTTTAGATATGGTTAACTGCAAACCAGATATTTTAGTTTTTAAGACAAGCTAAGTAGTTAGAAAACTGAACCTTTACAATAAATTAAACCTTTTATATATATATATATATATATATATATATATATATATATATATATATATATATATATATATATATATATATATATATATATATATATATATATATATATATATATTAATATCTCATATTAGTTAAATAATTATTTTAATATAATATATGGATAAACTTAATAATTTATTATATTTAAATTCCCTAGGTACTTGGCAAGCAATTTTCTCACACTTTACTGTGGCTATTGGTGCTGATCTTGAACTAAAGGTGAGCTGAATTTTTTTTTTTATAATAAGCCATTTTTCAGCTTAAGCTCAAGTTTGAAATCGATTCAGTGTTCTAATTCTTAAAGAATATGTTGCTACTAAGATTATATACTGTAAGTATTAATATGTATGGCTTGATAGTGGGACTGTCAGACAGTAGCTTTCACATTTCTATCCTAAAAGATAAGAGTTCAGATCCCTGGTTTTAGTCCTGGTATGATGTCCTAAGTCTCATGAGTACCAGCTCTCATGAGTACCTGGCTCAAGATAGGGAAATTAAAGGTGGCTGGGTATATACCTCTGAACACTCTAATTTTACATGCAAATGTCACAGAAACAGGTGAATTTTAATTCAACTGCTATATTGGCTGTCTGTTTTAATCAATGATTAATTTTTTCATATTACAGAAAGTTGTTAAAAATATTATTTATTTAATTTCTAGGTAAATGGAACAGCATGGATGTGGATTTTTAGACACAAGGAAGCTGAATTTAACTTTTAATGAAGAATTTAAATGATGATTGTCCATGAAAAGAAATATTAATCATATACATTGTAATGCTGTATTGATGCATCTTCTGTTTTAAGTAATTAAAAAACCATCCATTTATGAAATTATTTTCATTTTTTTTTTCAATTTTAAAACTGTAGTTCTGTTTTGTTATTTGAAAACAATGATGAAAGTATACTGAACTGCCATTGAGATATTAATATAAATGCTATTGTTTATAGTTTAATTCTTTCAGAAGCAACTATATTGACATCAAAACTGAATCTTTATTGTACACTAAGTATAAAAGCTTACCCGCAAACCAGTCCATGTCAACAATTTATTGACATTCAAACATTAAATTTTTTTAAAGGTGATTTTTCTTAAATAAAACAGACTACTTTCATATGGGATAAGAAACATTTAATTTTGAAATTGATTGGTTTATTAAATTTTAATGGAGCTGAAACTAAAACACTGGGTACAAATTTATTATTACTTTGTTTCTCAGAAAATTGCAAATTTTGAACATAAGAACTGTGGGAAGTAGGCAATGATGTTAAAATATCTCTTGAAACTTGAAGAAATTGTGGAAGGTTTAGAGATAGAAACAACATTTCAGAAGATGATGTTTGAAATAATGGTAAAATATCTTTAGCAATTGTCACTGAATAAATATTTTCATTAGACAAATCACATTTAGATATAGAAGAATAAGGTATGTCTTCAGATTTTCTTATCAGCGAAGATCCTGGGTGATTCTCTTTGTTACCATCGGTCAAACGACAAGCCAATTCTGGAAAATTCATTGGGTTCTTTGCCTGGGCAGCTAAATATATTTAAATTAAGTTCATGCAAGGCTTTAGAAACATCAATTGGATAAAACTCTATAATTTCATTAACTTTTTATTAATATCAGCTCCAAAGGAATAATATAAACAAGTTACACATCATCAATAAATCAAATTTGCAGATATTTCCATTTCACCAAACTTTCTCTAAGTCATAATATATATTTTAAATTCATGGCATTTTGTTAGGCTAGATATGTTGACTTTTATTTACCACAATAATCTGATTATATAAATTAGGATTACCCAGCTATCATACATTCTTCTTTTTACTGCCCTCCTTTATGAGGGGGAGGTAAAAATCATCATAAAATGTGTGATGCAATTTACAGATGAACCCTCTCTCTCTCTACCCCTCCCCCTATATATATATATGTATATCTACATAATCTCTAAAATCATGTTGGTACCTCTACCTGTTTGAATGTTTGGCCCCTTTCCTTCAACTGTTTCTGTGTGGATCTTCTCCATGGGGGTCATCTATAAATGACGTCACGCATTTTTTTGACGATTTTTACCTCCCCCCCCCCCCCTCCAGAGGCGTAGCGACCCTTCCCGGCACCCGGGGACATACTTTCGATTTGGCGCCCCCTTGGGAGCAAATATTCGATTTGCACCCCCCCCCCCCTCAAACTTTCGATTTGCACCCCCCCCCCCCTCGAACTTTTCATTTGCACCCCCCCCCTCAAACTTTCAATTTGGCGCCCCCCCTAAGGTCGGCGCCCGGGGACATATGTCCCCCCCGCCCCCCCCCCCGCTACGCTACTGCCCCCCTCCCCCTACACATCGTCACAAAAAGCCAGACCCCCACCCCCTAAAATGACGTCACACAGTACTAGATTCTAGATCTAAATTACTACAGTTGCCTACACTCTAGATTTAGTTTTTAAGTTCTACAACAAGACTACACTAAACTTCGCTAGATCTAGAATAATCTAGATTCTATATATAAATTGATATTGAACATATTCTAGTCTACCTGTCTTAAAGTAAATAGCCTATTTAGTAATTTAGTAATTAATTCCACTCAACTACACTGTAAAATAAAAGAAACTAGATCTAGAATCTAGATCTCTAGACTACTCTGTATGTCGTATGTTACTGTCTAAGTCGGAATTTTCAAGAGGCTTTTTTTTAAGTCATAGATCTAGATATAGAATTCTAGATCTAGAAATCTAGACTCTAGATCTAGGCTATATATATTTATTGATTAAATTAGGCTTGATTTCAGATTTACGATTGAAATCTTTTAGGCCTATAAATATCATATTTTATATAGATTATAGATGTATTATTATTATACAGGTTGTATTCTAGATCTATCTAGATCTATATAAAATATAATATATTTGTGTGTGTGTGTTATTTTAAACATAATTTACTTAAAACAACTTATTGTCGGAGTTTTTTTTATTCCAAAAACGAAAGTAGATTTCATAACTTAAAAAAAAAAAAAAAAATATTCACATTTGGTTTGAAAAAACAAAAAAAAAACGCCAGCTGGCAACTACCGGAGCGAGAACTTGGTAAGCTACTTTAACAACTTACAAGCCCAATAGCCCGAGTTCCCATCCCCTGTTATTTTATATAAGAATATTCGAGAAAGTTTAGGGGAGATCACTCCCGGTTTATTTAACCACTGAGTCAGGTTACGTTTGAAAAATGGATGTTGTTTGTTACAGGTTTGAAAAATGGATGTTGTTTGTTACAGGTTTGAAAAATGGATGTTGTTTGTTACAGGTTTGAAAAATGGATGTTGTTTGTTGCAGGTTTGAAAAATGGATGTTGTTTGTTACAGGTTTGAAAAATGGATGTTGTTTGTTACAGGTTTGAAAAATGGATGTTGTTTGTTACAGGTTTGAAAAATGGATGTTGTTTGTTACAGGTTTGAAAAATGGATGTTGTTTGTTACAGGTTTGAAAAATGGATGTTGTTTGTTACAGGTTTGAAAAATGGATGTTGTTTGTTACAGGTTTGACAAATGGCGTCTAAAATGGTTTTAGCGTTTATTGCTGTAGCGTGTCTGGTATTCTGTGAGGTCGCTGGTAAGTTGCCGTTCCTTAAAACGTCTTTTAAAGTAAAGAAAATTTTTCAATAATGAGTATTGTTTTGTTTTCTATATGTTAATTAGAATTATTGGCTTTTTTTGTTCGTCTTTTAATTATTTGTTTTGTGTAGGCCTATTTTGTGCATATTTTACATTATATTATTCTATTTAGATTGGATTACTTTGTACTAAGATATTGTTTTATTTCGTCTCTTTACTATAACATAACCCAGACACGTTTTGTTTTGATTTTCATTTTGTTGCTTATCACACACAAAATACGTGACTATTAGTTTTCCTTATTGGCTAGCACTAACCTCCGTGTTTTATTGTTGAATTTGTTGTTTATTAAATAAGTTGGAACTTTAATCACATTAGCTAAATGAATTATAAGCCTCACATAATTTTCTTTAATTTAATTCAACATTTTCTAAGTTATAAAGTATTTATAAATATTATTTCCAATGTTTTTCTTCTTTAAGATAATAATTCCAGTTTAAACAATACCTACTTTGTATGCGCTATCGGAATTGTTGAATGCTTAAATATAGCTCTACACATAGATACAAATATATTTTACTTTTTGTTATAAATTTCTACCTATAACTATTTCTAAAGGGTTTTAACCTTACCTTTTTTCTAATTATCGCGGCTATCATTTTCTTATCTAATGATAATATTTCATCTCTTAGAGGTCCCCAATCAACAGATCTTCTCAATGTCAAATTCACTTTTCTTTTTCTAAAATCTCTTTTACCCCAGTTGTTGTATATTTATGTTCGTAAGTTTTATTGGCCATCGTGCCTTTAACCCTGATACTGTTTACATACTGCAAGCAATATATTATGCCTTGAACCTTTCTTTCTACATGTAAGTTGATTGAATTGAAATGGAAGAATAATTTTATTTTGTATACAGCCCGAGAGGGTGAAGGGGGTGGCAGAAGTGGGCATGAGGAGAAAGAGAGGCAGAGGTGCCCCTCTCGCTGCCCTAAAATCTTGAGACCTGTGTGTGGCAGTGACGGGGTGACCTACAACAACGAATGTCTCCTACAGGCGGCCAACTGCGGCAGGTCAAGGAGAAACAGGGTCAAGGTGACCTCATCTGGACCCTGTCAGGCCCCAGCTGGTGGACTGGGTAATGCAGCAAATGATGCACCAACGGATGCGCCAACGAATGCACCAACAAATGCACCAACGAATGCACCGACTAACGCATCGACTAATGCAGCAACTGATGCACCAACCGATGCACCAACCGATGCACCAACTGAAGCAGCAACAACTCAAGCTCCCACTAGCCCGTGAGGGGATGCACCATATCCCCACAACTGCTTCAGATTAAAAAAATGTAATAATCAATTCTAAACTATCTAGCTCACTTATTTGTTGAAATTAGTTTCAGAAAAATAAAACGTACGCAAAATTTAAAATATTTTCTATAACCTTCTATAACCTTCCTTACATAGAATGATGACAATAGACAACGATTAAGCTTCCTTCTTCAATCGCAACCCCTTCAGATAAAAACAAAATCAATTTTAAAAAATGTGATATTCAATACTGAAATGATACATATTTATTCAAACTATTGTCTGAAATAAAACTACAAAAATGTGAATATTACTTTTTGTGTGATTCTTTTACTTTCTCATTTACTCGTATACGAAGTATAGAGAAAGTTTTGTTATAATGCAAAAAAACCGAAATCGAGATATTCACAAATCCCTGATTCGGAAAAACATAGTTTTGCAATGTATGTCCGTATATCTCTCTCTGTGTGTTTCTGTGTGTCTGTGAACACGGTCACTTTAGTACCGTTATAGCTAGATTGATGACATTTCATATATAAGTTTTATATATGAGAAAATGACTGTTTATATATTTCTTATTTAAATGAATATTTTTTTTCAATTTCGTAGTGTGGTGGAGGGGTGGTGGAGGGATGGAGGACGTACCCAGCACCACCCTTCTTTCACCCCCACTCGTTCCACAGAAGTTAATGTGAAATAAAAAAAAAACAGAATTAGTGTTGGATTAGTGTATTAAATCACACTGCAGCGTACCGAATTCTATTGGTTTGTATTCTGCTGTGTTGGATCGAACCGGTTGATCTAGTATTATAACGTAGAAAATCCTATTGTATCGTAGTATCAATTCGTGAGAGTATGGGTTGGTTTTTCATAACGGTTTGTGCTGATAGATTGGGAGGGGGGGGGGGGGGATATTGACGTCAAGGTAAGCTGGGGGGGGGGGGGAGCAGATAATAAGCAGATATTGTAGATGTGATAACCAAAAGATAAATTTTAGTAATACTTTGCTCATTTAAAAGATATTTATGCATTTAAAACATATGTTAAGAATATCGTATGCAATTGTAATTTTATCATACTGAATCGAATTGTGTTTTATTTTGTCTTGTAAATTAGTTTCGTGTTAAGGTGAGTTGTGGTTTTGATTTGTTTATGATGCTGTTCTGTTGTCTGGTTTTTCTGTTGGTTCTTTCTATCAGAATAATCTTTGTGGAACGGGATTAAGGTCTAAATACATTTTTTTTTCAAAACTCACTGAATGCTGCGAAATAAGAATATATTTTCTTGCGCAACATATGGAATAAGATTAAAGAGTAACTGACCTTTCGTCACGTCAATTAACAGAAATACACTTTAAAGTAGGCAGCTATTTCTACCTAATGTATAATCAGCTGTAAATATTTTCACAACTGTTATGATATTGCAAAAATTCCTTTAGGACATAACCATCAACTGAAATTAGGGAAAGTAAAGAAGCCTAGACTGACCTCTCTTATACATGACTGAATATACTACATTGGACTTTGGAAGCTGGTTAATGTGCTACTGGGTGATAATTTTTTAGCTAAAGCAAGTACTATTATAATATAATAAAATAAATATTAATGATAACATGTTTGAAAACAATTCAGATTTGTTTTAGGTTTGTGAGGAAGAGGTGCTCAACTTATACTTTTAAATTTTACCAATGATTTGTTTCAGTTAAGGAACAATTTGGTCCTGGATTGTTGTTTCTTGTAGCCATGTGTTGATGTTTATAGACAACAAAACCGGCGCCGGTTTTTGACCAGAGATTTGGGTGATGCGGGGACTAAATGAATTGTTTGATCAAGTTGATGACTGAGGCCAGTGCGGAAATCAGAGGCGTAGCGAGGGCGGGGCGGGGGGTGCGGACCGCACCGGGTGACACCATTTAGAGGGGTGACACCAAGGCAAAAAAAATGCAAAATGTTATGTACAGAAGAAAAATGCTTTTCTGCCTGTTCCATTAATGATTCATTAGTTAAATAGTCTTTTATGTACAAATCGTCATTTAGTACAAGGGGTAGGGGTGAAACCATGACGTAAATGCGCTTATTTAGAGAAAACAGCGCTACATCCAACTGTATTATTAACAGATTAAATATAAACATCGATACTATTACGTCTGCAGTGATTAAAGCTTTTACACATACATGTACGCGTATGTGGCATATATTTAAATTATAGGTCTATGTAGACATGCATATATGTAAATAAATAAATAAATACATAAATAAATAAATATATATATATATATATATATATATATATATATATATATATATATATATATATATATATATATATATATATATATATGTGAAAGTGGTCATCCGAGTGTATAATAAACTATGGATTAAACCAATGCGGTCCTGGTCAATCATTCATATCAGATGGTTATTTGTCTATAGATCCACGTAGTCAGACAAGGTCGACCCCGTCCTCATCTTGCATCGCTACATTTAGATTTGACTTGGTATTGCGCGAAAATGGTCTTTTGTTAAAGATCAGTCTGTATGCTACTTCTGTTTCTTTTGGTGTAATGCGTTTATTGTGTAGGTCAGGGGTCGGCAAACTACGGCTCTTTTGCTGTCAAGATGCAGCTCTCCAGCTCCTTGCACAAATATTAATAATTTTGTTATTTCATTTTCAAAACTCATATAAAATATCACAATGTAAAGAAAAACAACTTAAAACAGAATTAAAACACTTACAGAGAACATTGAGAATATGTGCAGTTGAAAGTATACGGACAGCTAACAGCTGCTTGGGCACCAGGCCCAGCCCCACAGCCCCGTGGCAACAATCCCATGCTTGCCACTGCCCAAGTGCTGACTTTTCCGAATGTTTTTAAATGGGGAATGTTATTTTATTCAGAATGCATATTAATTTGACCTGAGTAACGTAGCTTTTTTTAGCTTTTAGCTTCCTACTGTTGAGCCGGGTACTGGACTATGGGGTACGAGTTTACCCTGTGTTCAGTGGGGTGGAAGATAGGTCTGGTGAGAACCAAAGGACAGAAGCGACCGATTCACTGTTATCAAACCGATATTCAAGCCAGTTAGTTCAAGTTAGCCGTGCTGAGGCCTGCCTGGCTAATGAGAGACACATTCTGAGCCGGTGATGTTCGTAAAGAAAGGAAAAAAAAGTTAACAGCTTCTAAAGTGTATTTAGGATACTCCTATACTTATATTATTTGATTACTAAGTTTATTATTCTGGCGAAACATGTGTATGTTTTTATATGAATAAATATTATTTCATATTTAAAGCTATTTATTTTAAATAACAAATCACCTTTATTTACATAGTCCTAATCAATTATAAAATATTGAAATAAAAAGCTAGTGGCTCTTTAAAAACTAAGAAATTTCGAAAATTGTAACTTTTTTCTCTTCCGTCTCAAAAGGTTACCGACCCCTGGTATAGGTTCCTAAATGTATCTTTAATGTCTATTGTATTGTGTTTACTGGAACAATTCTGGTGTATAAGAATGTCGCTTGTTGTTTGATTTGGATGTTGTATATTTTTGTGTGCGTGTTCCCCAATATTGCTTGTGTCGCCAGTGTTTCTTTATGAAAGCGACCTATTTCATTTTGGGAAAGATGCATCTGTTTATTAGAGCAGCTCTGGCAAAGATGGTTGTATTGCATGCAGTATTGGTATTTTTCCAAGTTGTGTTTTATTTGATTGTTCATTGGGGTCCATCTTTCTTGGTGGTCTTTTGTCGAGTCGCGGGTATAGGTAATCCCATTAATTCCGAGTTTTTCTGTTATTTCTTTGAAATTTAAAAATTCATATTGATTTTTTAATTTAAAAAAAAAAAAGATTAATTTTTAATATTATTATAAAATTTAAAATTTAAAAATACAACTTTATTTGGTTTTTATACCAGATAAAAAAAAGGTTGTTAACGTAAAAAAAAACACATTTATTTATGAAAATAAAATGAAATACTCAAAAACGCTGCAAGAACTATTACCAAAGTTATTACCAAAACTTAATTTTAGAAAAAAAATTTCAAATAAAGCTAATCGTTTTTAATATGATTTAGAATTTGAGAATCATTACATATTTTATTTGTTGCTAATTTTACAGAGAGATTTATAAAACATTTTAATTTAAAAAATTTCAAAAATGAAAACAATAAAACAGAATTTAAATATCTATACTTCTGTCATTTTGTGAATGTTACACGACGTTTGGGGGAAACATAGTAATAAGTTTTTCCACTTAGTAGTTCATAAACATGTAATGGGAAGTAACTAGCAAAAATTAAAATACAAAGCAGAAAAATGTAAGTCTGACGATGTTCCTTTGTCAAGGCCATGATGCTTTGTACAGGATGTGCGAAAACAAAATGTCATGTATTTTCGAATGATGTTCTCGATACGTAAATATATTAGCAATTTTAGCTTCTAAGCTAACCATATAGCGAATAATGAATTAAATTTTCGAAAGTTTTCAAAATAATATTCAACATTTTTCTTAAATTTGATGTATAGTTTTATGTCCGTCAAACAATAGCCTAAAATACTCAGTTTGACATAGAAAAAAAAAAATTCAGTTTGACATAGGATTGTTTTTATTGTAACCTCAGTACAACGTGAGATCGGTTCAGTCTATTCGCTTTCTTAAAAATTCAATGCAGAAAGTTTTGCATCGTTAAATTTGCATTGTAAATACTATCTATTCACAATGCAGAGAAGTAAAAAAAAAATTCTTTCATTGGTAGTCAGTACTTATTTAAAATTATCGCTCAAAATAATTGTATCAGCGTGTAAAATATTCACACTATTTACATTTGGCATATTATGTGTACGCGAATATATTATACCTCGTATCTTTTTCTTACTCGTCTTTGTTTTATGTTGAGATAGTTGCAGTAGGGGCCAGAGGCGTAGCGACCCTTCCCTTCCCGACGCCCGGGGACATACTTTCAATTTGGCGCCCCCCTCGGGAGCAAATTTTCGATTTGCACCCCCCCCCTCGAACTTTTCATTTGCAACCCCCCCTCAAACTTTCGATTTGCACCCCAGCCCCTCGAACTTTTCATTTGCACCCCCCCCCCTCAAACTTTCAATTTGGCGCTACCCCTAAGGTCGGCGCCCGGGGACATATGTCCCCCCCCCCCCCCGCCCCCCCCCCCCCCCCTCGCTACGCCTCTGGTAGGGGCGTATACATAAAATAAAAACCTGAATGGAATTGATGAAAAAAAAAACACCTAAAATACAAATTCGCGAGAGTAAATCATTATGAATACACAGGGGTCGGCGTGGTCGAGTCGGTAAAGCTCATGGTTGCTAAACCCAAAAGTCTCGAGTTCAAACCCTCGGGCAGCTGGGGACAGCCACTCTTCTAGGAGAGAAAACTCCATAATTAAAAAACTGCTGTCTTGTAGTTTGTTCTTGGTTGGACAAAGTCTATAGAAGCAAATCGAAAAAGAAAAGCAGGCTGAAATCGGAGGCGTGGTAGAGTCGGCAAAAAGCTCATGGTTGATAAATAAGAAAAAAGTCTCGAGTTAAAACCCTCTGGCAGATAAGGCTCGATCCCTACCAACACTAAAAATTAAGAACGAAGAAGAAGAAGACACAGTATGTGCAAAGGTCTGCCGTGTGTAACTATGCGAACACTCACTAATACGAGTTTGATATTATTTTATTTATCATAGTTTAGAGTTAGACTCCCCCCTCCCCCCATTGATAGTAAACGGAACGAATCCGGACTTTCATGTTATCTATACATTTTATCTTTATGCTCTTCTTTTTCAATAAGAATGCATATTTATAAACCCACATATATCCAGGATTATGGTAACGCAGGACAAATTATCTTTGTACAAATGAGCTTTTTTTTTATAATCCCCGATTCTGCCCACAGTTTGATAAGTATGGTCGTAACAGGTCCTGATGTCAACCTCCACAGGTCCTGATGTCAACATCTACAGGTCCTGATGTCAACATCTACAGGTCCTGATGTCAACATCCACAGGTCCTTATGTCAACATCCACAGGTCCTGATGTCAACATCCAGAGGTCCTGATGTCAACATCCACAGGACCTGATGTCAACATCTACCGGTCGTAAAGTCAAAACCAACAGGACCTGATGTCAACATCCACAGGACCTGATGTCAACATCCACAGGTACTGATGTCACCACATACAGGTCTAAATGTCAACACTAACAGGTCCTGATGTAACTATGTAAAGGTCCTGATGTCACCACACACAAACAGGTCTTGATGTCACCACATAAATGTACAGATGTCACCACATAAATGTACAGATGTCACCACATAAGGTCCTGATGTCACCACATACAGGTCCTGATGTCACTACATACAGGTCTAAATGTCAACATACAGGTCCGTATGTCACCACATACAGGTCTAAATGTCACCACATACAGGTCCTGATGTCACCACAAACAGGTCCAAATGTCAACACCTACCTGACCTGCGTGTATTAATTTCAACACCACAACCCAAAGGACCATTCATCCGTAAACCATATTTAATTTCCGCTAGGCGGAAAACATAATTCTAAACTTCCCATCTAAACAATTCGTATATTCATATCTACATTTTTTTTTTAGAAATACTGTAGCAATAAATACATATTTTCCCGCCTAATAACTATAATCATCTATGCGTATAAAATTTGATTTCCGGAGTACGCGATAATTATTGTAGGAAATGGTATAAAACTGTGAACGTTTTGTTGTTAAGAGTTGTACATCCAAACAAGTCTTTTTAAAGGTAAGTTGTTTATGTATTTATTTTAGATTGATGTTGTAGGCGTATGGCATAGTCTGATACTAGTTTCGTGTGTACTGAGCTCAGCTGTCTAGTTTGTCGATGTTCACTGAATACATATCGGAATAGTTCTGACCACACTTAGACATAGTGCTGACCACACATAGACATAATGCTGACCACACGTTGATATAGTACCGACGACACATAGACATTATGCTGGCCATACCTAGACTGCTGACCTAACCTAAACATAGTGCCGACCACAACTTGACATAGTGCTGACCACAACTCGACATAGTGCTGACCACAACTCGACATAGTGCCGACCACAACTCGACATAGTGCTGACCACAACTCGACATAGTGCCGACCACAACTCGACATAGTGCCGACCACAACTCGACATAGTGCCGACCACAACTCGACATAGTGCCGACCACAACTCGACATAGTGCTGACCACAACTCGACATAGTGCCGACCACAACTCGACATAGTGCCGACCACAACTCGACATAGTGCTGACCACAACTCGACATAGTGCCGACCACAACTCGACATAGTGCTGACCACAACTTGACATAGTGCTGACCACAACTCGACATAGTGCTGACCACAACTCGACATAGTGCTGACCACAACTCGACATAGTGCTGACCACAACTCGACATAGTGCCGACCACAACTCGACATAGTGCTGACCACAACTTGACATAGTGCTGACCACAACTCGACATAGTGCTGACCACAACTCGACATAGTGCTGACCACAACTCGACATAGTGCTGACCACAACTCGACATAGTGCTGACCACAAATCGACATAGTGCTGAGGACAACTTAACATACCGAATGTACCGAAACAGATATGGGCAATATCATCAACATCATTCATTATATCTATTATTATATGTTACTTATGGAAAACATGCTAATATAACTTATTTATTTATGCTGACTTGTCAATATAATCTGGATATATAGATTTATAACCCTTTATGTCACTGAGCTAGACAAACTGTGTTTATACACTTTATTTACTAAAATATTGTTTATTTCAGCATTGAAAAATGGCGACAAAAATGGTTTTAGCATTGGTTACCTTATCAGGCCTGGTACTGTGTGCTGTCGCTGGTAAGTTGGTTTACTTATTTTTTTCTCCGGCGACAATACAAGGATATCCAATTTTTAATATTAATAGATATAAAAGTCGTAATTAAATAATTAATTTAAATATTATTTTATTAAACAACAAAAGGGGAGATTACTGAATTAAGTACTAGCGATAGTTCAATCATCGCTGTGAACTGTTATGTTTTATGAACTGGTTTAACGCGAACCACAGCCATAAAGAAAAGGGAAGATATTTGTTCTATAAAGATGGTTAGCGGCTAGTAGATTTTTTTTAACTGAGTGAAATAAATGAAAAAAAGGATTTACTGCTTTTAGAAAATAAAATATTGACATATTATTCAATTTTTTTTAAGTTCGTAATTACAAAAAATAGAAATAAAAAATGAAAACTCATTTGTAATCGTGTTTAAAGGAACTATAAATGAAATGTATCAAACGCATACGCTTATTAATGCACTATTTTGTGTTTTCCGTAACCCCGAAATGTAACTCCATTTTCTACCATATATCCCGTGTTAAGTAATGTATGCTATTGTACAACGGTCTTAATTTTTCAAAGTCGAACATGAATAAAAGAAAATGCAAAAAGAATGTATGACGTCATTTACATTTTTTTTTTCTCACAGCAAGAGGAGGAAACGGGAGGCAAGGAGGAGGCAGTAGCGGCCAAGATGAGAACGAGAGGCAGAGGTGCCCCTCTCGCTGCCCTAAAATCTCGAGACCTGTGTGTGGCAGTGACGGGGTGACCTACAACAACGTATGTCTCCTACAGGCCGCCAACTGCGGCAGGTCAAGGAGGAACAGGGTCAAGGTGACCTTACCTGGACCTTGTCCGGCCCCCGCTGGTGGACTGGGTAATGCAGCAAATGATGCACCAACTAACGCACCAACTAACACACCAACTAATGCACCAACTAATGCACCAACAAATGCACCGACTAATGCAGCTACTGATGCACCAACTAACGCACCAACAGATGCACCAACTAACGCACCAACCGATGCACCAACTAACGCACCAACAGATGCACCAACTAACGCACCAACCGACGCACCAACCGATGCACCAACTGATGCACCAACTAATGCACCAACTGATGCCCCAACTAACGCACCGACAGATGCACCAACTAATGCACCAACCAATGCACCAACAGATGCACAGACTACACCATACGTCACAACTCCTTTTTAATTAAAAAGAAAGAAATGTAGATCTAATAGTCAATACTGAAACAACACTTATTTATTTAAATTTCTTCTGAAATAAACGTAGGCAAAATTTGAAATATTACTTTTTGTGTTATTTTCTATTATCTTTATCACATAGATACTGACAATGGACACAAATTATAGTTGCTTCATCCATCACAACTAAGTAATTTAGATTTTTTTTTAAATAATTAAATTAAAACATATTATATTCGATGCGGGAATGATACATGTTTATTTAAATTATTTTCTGAAATAAATTAAGCCTTCGAAAAATTTGAAATACTTCAGTAATTTTCAAAAATGGTTCGCTACATAAGGGCTACAATAAGAAAAAAAATTTACAGAATTATAGTTGCTTCACACGCTAAAGATTGATAACTTTTAAAAATTAGATTTGTTTATTTATTTATTTATACGCTTATTTATTGATCTAATTGTTCAGTTGACAAAATAATTGTTTTTTTAAAAACAAAATGCAATATTACAATTTTTGCTGCTGATGATTATTTTTCCTTTCCCGTATACAGAGTATAGAGGAAGTTTTGTAATCGTGGACAAAATTCACATGAAATTTTGGTAGTTTTATTTTCACCGTTTTACTTCTTAGTACTTTATCACATACGGAGTATAGGGGGCCTATTTTAATCGGGCGAAAACACTAAATCCATATTTATCAAAATTTCGGCGTTTCACTCGTAATCGAGTCGGAAAAACTGGGCTTTGTAATTCTGTCCGTATGTGTGTCTGTGTGTCTGTGAACACGATAACTTGAGTACCGTTACAACTCGGCTGATGAAATTTCGTATATAAGTATTATATCAAGTATTACATCAAATGTGTAGTTCTGTATCATCTTTTCAGCGATTGTCGATAAACGGAAGTGGAATTTGTCCTACTTTTGGTTTTTCAAAACCCTATAACTTGAGTACTGTTTCAGATAGAAAATCGAAATTTCACAAACAAAATTGTTTTAGTAATTTCAGTTGACCGGAAGTAGTAATTTACGCTATTTTCGATTTATCAAATAAAAAAAAAACGCTTATTATTATTTTCCGCACTATTATACACATATTGCTTGCTGTTCAGTTGGTGTGTTATTCTTTTTTCTACGAGATTGTATTGTAGTTCCCATTTAGCTCTATGAGCAGGTACGGTGTTGTTATTAGTTCCGATGACCACTATTTTTTGCTGTTCATTTTTTTTTCTATTCAAATTTTAGTCCTACTTTGGGGGCTTCTTTACTTACTAAGTCAATATCTAGTTAGGTTTGGGCATGTTGTTGTTAAACCTACGAATATCATTCAGTTATTATATATTATTACATTTTGTCTTCTTAACTAAATTGGAACACAAATTATCGTGTTCACATTTACCATCCCCTCCCCCTACACATACACAAACAAACATACAGACAAGCCTAGATTTTTCCAATTCGTGAAGGTTTGAATATATATTTTAAAAATTTAACCATAATTGCATGGCTTGACATAGGTCTTAGAGAATTTCTTTTTAATTTTCGAATGATTTTTATATTTTGAACCATTTTTCAAGCCTACTGTCTAAATCTCGATTTCCTTTTTTACTTTCTCGTATATACGAAGTATAGAGAAAGTATTGTAATCGTGCACAAAAATCACTTGAAATTTTAACTATTTTCACCGTATTACACCTCAGTCCTTCATCACATCCGAAGTATAGAGGACTTATTTTAATCGGGCAAAAATTATCAATCCAGATTTATCAAAATTAAAAGGTTTTATGCGTATTCCAGTCTGAAAAACTGGGCTTTGCAATTCTGTCCGTATGTCTGTGTGTCTGTGTGTGTGTGTGTCCGTGTGTAAACACGATAACTTGAGTACCGTTACAGCTAGGTTGATGAAATTTCATATATAAGTATTTTATCAAAATCGTAGATCCGTATCAACTTTTGAGCGATTTCGGATAACCGGAAGTGGTACTTTTTCTACTTTGAATTTTTCAAAAGCCTATAACTTGAGTACTATTTCAGATAGATAAATGAAATTTGATATGTAAGTAAAAGATCTAATTCTCTACCTTCTGTCAAATTTTGAGAATTTTTCGTTGACCGGAAGTACTTATTTACGCTACTTCCGATTTCTCAAAAAACTAATGTAAATTTTAAAAGTACTAATAATATTGCGCACTATTATGCGCTTTTTTATTCGCGTTCACTTGGTGTGAAATTAATTTGTCTACGAGATTTTATTCTATTTTTAAAACTTTAAGTATTTAAAATGGATTAAAAATCATGTCTATAGCCCGAGTTCCCATACCCTGTTATTTTATATAAGAATATTCGAGAAAGTTTAGGGGAGATCACTCCCGGTTTATTTTTTATAATTTTCCATTTCATGTACTTTCTCTATACTCTGTGCTCGAGAAAGAAATGTAATGCGCGCTTTATGAATGTTGCACCAAGTTGCACAGTTCTTGATCTACCGGGAAGTAGGTAAAATCAAAGAAAATGACTAGAAGTCGGAAGTTTTGAAATTTTAGAATGTGAGTATGATCTGTATGCCAAGTAAATTGTAATCGTCATTCGTACCTAGATTATATTTTTTTAAAGTGATAAGTATTATGTAAGTAATATCCTAAAATAGAGGAAAAGGATTTTAATGTAGAACAATATAAATGGCAGAAATTGATTTGTAATTTGGAGTTAAAGTCTAGGTCTGGAATACTAGATCTAGATCTAGCATACATGTGGTAACAGTGAAGAGAGAATTTTTAAACATAGTAATCAGTGTTTCTTGCCAGAATTAGTATATGTTTTCTATGTGAATTCCGTTTCTTTCATGGACGAGGGGGGGGGGGGGGCAAAGAAACACACTGATAGTAATATATTTAATTTTACCTATGGGACAATACCAGATCTACACAGTTTAGATTTTCACCCTCTCCGTATAGCTGGGTAAGGCCCAGTACTAGAATTATGCTTTAGGGTTCGCTAAAATTAGGGTTTGCTAAATTAGGGTTTGGGTTAAAGGTTAGAGATAATGTGCAGGTTAGGATTTGGTAAGCGAAACTAGAGAGAAAAAAAAATTAGATACGACCCTGTAGGAACTCGCTGATGTATCCTCGACAGTAGCGTAGCGAGGGGGGAGGGGGGCGGGGGGCATATGTCGCCGGGCGCCGACTTTAGGGGGCGCCAAAATGGGTTGGAAAAATAAATTGAAAGGTTGAGGGGGGGTGCAAATCGAAATCTTGAGGGGGGGTGCAAATCGAAAAGTTTGTCCCCGCGCGCCGGGAAGGGTCGCTACGCCTCTGATCCTCGAATACAAACAGCATCAAGTATTCACGTGTGTTGTAGAAATGATATTAGAAATAAAATATTAGCCGTAACCTGAAACAGTCACACTATAAAGATGCATAGTTATTTATATAGTGCTATGATAGTCCTCCGAAAGTTTGAGTGAAGGTTTAGGTTTTTGACGATATATTTACCGAATAAACATTACGTGAAAAGAAAAACCTATTTAAATCTTCCACTCTTAGCGTGGAATAGTTCAGACATAAAACATTGTACCTTAGTGCTAAATAACTGAATTCCGACATGGTGACCTTTTCCTGACACTTATCCAACATGGTGACCTTTTCCTGACACTTATTCATCATGGTGACCTTTTCCTGACACTTATCCAACATGGTGACCTTTTCCTGACACTTATCCAACAAGGTGACCTTTTCCTGACACTTATCCAACATGGTGACCTGACTATTTACTGACAGTTATTAAACAGGTGACCTGAGGTAATCCTTACATCAAAACTGGAACTCAATACTTTTTGGTCAGCACCTTCAAAATATAATTCTTTTGAAACTACTTTTCAGATGAACGCCTGTTAGGTTTTAAAAAAGATTTAAAAAAAATAAAAAAAATTGACAGCACAGAAGTAGAGACAACGTAGCACAAACGCAACATGACACAGAGCGTCATCGTATTTTGGTTACTCTGTCTCGTGGGACGCACACTGGGTAAGAAAGGAAATGCATACTTTGAAGTAGTTTTACAATGATCGATTGGTAACAGATATTCACACAACACCACGATCCTCTCGAGCTCAAATGATGAGTAAACTGAAGCATCAAAATTAAGTATAAATAACATTACTACACAATAGAAGGGTATTTAAAAACGAGCGCGCAACAATGTGTTGACGTTGAAGAGAAGGATAGTGACCAGAACAACAACATATTAAAATAATTCCCTTTAACATAGTTTAATCTTGCTTTCATGTTTATTTAAAATATTTAAATATTGTGTTTCCCTACTTTAAATAGTTCTCTGAATACGTTGATATACTAGACTTACATAATAGACACACGGGTGTAATTTGTCCAATAGCCGCTGTATGCTTGCCAATTAGGCTGCAACTATAATTTATCGCATTTGAGCAATCGCCCAACTCGTGCGAATATCCATTCGCGCAAAATCTCAGTTTTTACAAGCTTTTATTTAACTCACTTCCTCTCTCGACAGTCTGTCGACAGTCTGTCGACAGCTGTCGTCAGTCTAGATAGAAACGCAGGAGTGAAAATTCGGAAACTTCTACTTGACCGATACGATTCATATTTGGCACGTGGGTCAAGACATGAAGACAATGCAATCTGAAACTAAATTTGACTTAATTGGATGCCTAATTAATTTTTTATGAATTAATCAAAATTTGGACCGAATCAATAGGCATGTCTATCCAACCACACCACACGCGTCATCACGTTCAATCGCTGAGCCATCACCTTCAGTAGGCACGCCATCACGTTCAATAGACGCGCAATGGTTTTTAGTCATGTAACACTATTGTAAATAAAACATGTAAAGTACTGAAAAAAAAATTCATAAAAAAACGTTTTAATAACAAGCTTTTATGTAATGATGCACTAAAAAGTAGAAAATATATTATACACTACTATTTAAATTACTATAAAGAAAAGCGTGGGTCTCTTCTCAAATATTAGTGAAGGTATCCAATAGGTACTAAAGTACTAAAGTGACGCACGCTTTTCTTTATAGTAATTTAAATAGTAGTGTATAATTTATTTTCTACTTTTTAGTGCATCATTACATAAAAGCTTGTTATTAAAACGTTTTTTATGATTTTTTTTTACTATTTCTATTCGGGAAAAACGACTTTGTGGCAAACGGCTTTCGGCCAAAGTCTTTCTTTTTGTCTTTGGTCCAATAAAAATGCGATATGACTGTGTGTATTATATATGCATTTTTCTTTTATATTCAAGTGGGTGGTAGCGTTCGGGGTTATTACATTTTCTGATTGGATATGTTCACGATCCATACTTATACTACACGGGTAAATTCTGTTCTCAAACCTAAATGTAAAGACACTGCTTGTATAGATATAGATGAACTAAAGTCTTTGTTTGGTTGCCACAGTTGCTGTCAGCGTGAACGTTGGTCGCTCCGATGATTCGCTGCGTCTGGTAGGATTTCAGCAGACGAGAGAATTTGAGTACAGCTCCAACATTATCTGGGGTCAATATATGCGACCAAACAACAGCAGCTTCCTGCCGCAGTGTATGAGGGTCTACGTCGACTTTTGCTTTTTGAAAGATTGCGGCGACAGCAGTCTAGGTTGGATCAACGTAAGTTGAATTTTTTTTTCATCGGGCAGATCAACTAGTCTTAAAAATAAAAATAAAAAAAATTTCATCTGACATATCAAGTAGATTTTTAAGAAAAAAACAAACAATTTTTTGCAACCACGGCGTGTCTTCATCTAATGGAAGGGATGTTCTGCAGCACAAATAACTTCTTATATGGTACACGCATTAACGAGTGTTGAAGCCAATTTCAGCGTGCGTTACTTTCTTGATTTACTTTCAAAATTTTAGTCCATCCAAAAACAATTTGTCAGTTGTTTGATTTTGTAGCTTTTTATATTTGGTAGATTGCTATCCATAGCGCTGTGTCCTTCTCTCTCATACGATCATTAGCGACTCAAGATATTGCTCATTAGCCAGCCAGACTTAAACATGATTTCCTCTACCCAATTTACCAGCCGCTAGACACATGGCTTTTCCTTCCTCCCTCAGTGCATCACACTATCTGCTTTGGACACAATGGGCAGTTCTATAAAACCCATCTACGTTTTTCTAAATCCACCTTAGATAGGCTCAAGGTTTACAGCCATACTTCATGTAGATTTAGACCTGCTCTTAAGGCAGATTCACACATGTGTTCTCCAGTTTTAGACCTGCTCTTGAGGCAGATTCACACCTGTGTTTTCTGCTCTTAAGGCAGATTCACACCTGTGTTCTCCAGTTTTAGACCTGCTCTTGAGGCAGATTCACACCTGTGTTCTCCAGATTTACACCTGCTCTTAAGACAGATTCACACCTGTGTTTTCCAGTTTTAGACCTTCTCTTGAGGCAGATTCACACCTGTGTTCTCCAGTTTTAGACCTGCTCTTGAGGCAGATTCATACCTGTGTTTTCTGCTCTTAAGACAGATTCACACTTGTGTTCTCCAGATTTGTGCCATGCACACTCACCCGTGCCTTGACATCGCCTGTCCCTACAACAGTTCCGTCGTGAGCATCTTCACCTGCACGTGCGACGAGAAGGAGCACATATTCGTGGATATTTCCAGAGGGCCGCAAGAGATCGTGAGAAACGCCGCAATGAGGTTTCGTTTGGCCAGCACGTCAGAGCCCAACAGCGCGGACGTCCATGTGAGCCGGACTTTTGACATTGAAAATGAGCTCAGTAAGTTAGGCTTGAACTTGGACGTGGTTTCTATTTATGATAGATACCTGTTAGTGATTTTAGGGGTTAATTATATAGTAGGTTTAAACGATTAAGGGATCAAGTAGAATTCATCTGTTTATAAAGCAAAATATTTTAAAAATTGAAAAAAAATAGAAAGCGTATATTAAGTTTTGAAAATAAATTTAATTATCATATTAGTAACACTTCAGATGATTATTTTACCTCATTTTTATTTTATAAAATAAACCGGGAGTGATCTCCCCTAAACTTTCTCGAATATTCTTATATAACTCGGAATATAGACATGATTTTGTATTACTTAAACTTTTAAAAATAGAATAGAATCTCGTAGAAAAAAGAATTGCGCACCAAGCGAACGCCAAAAGAAAATGTACATAATAGTGCGCAATATTATTAGTACTTTTTAAATTTACATGAGTTTTTCGAGAAATCGGAAATAGCGTAAATTACTACTTCCGGTCAACAGAAATTACTCAAAATTTGAAAGAAGGTAGAGAATTAGATCTTTTACTTACATGAGAAATTTAATTTATCTATCTGAAATAGTACTCAAGTTATAGGCTTTTTTACAAATTCAAAGTAGAAAAAGTACCAATTCCGGTTATCGAAAATCGCTCAAAAGTTGATACGGATCTACGATTTTGATAAAATACTTATATATGAAATGTCATCAACCTAGCCGTAACGGTACTTAAGTAATCGTGTTTACACACAGACACACAGACACACACACACACACACACAGACACACAGACATACGGACAAGATTGCAAAATTATGTTTTTCCGTATCAGTGAGGTGTAAAACGTCAAGATTTGTAAAAATCTCGTTTTTTCTTTTTTGCACGATTACAATACTTTCTCTATACTTCGTATATACGAGAAAGTAAAAATTAAAAAACAAGATCCATAATTGTTGATCTCAAAACACGTGAAAGGTTTACCAACAGTACATACCTTGATTGGTAAGCTAACAAGGAATAAACATTTTCACCGAGCACCTATGCGGACAGACACAAGGCACTAACAGAAACAGGAAAAATGGTCACCAGACGTATACAGAGACCGGATTTTCGCTCACCTGACGCACAATGAAACCGGTAAACTGATCAACAGACGAAGAAAAAGACCGAATAGTCTCTAATCTACTGTAACAGATGAGGGTCATTAGCTTTGGACAGCAGCACATCTAGGAGAGGCAGCTCCTAAATTACACAACTGCTGCCTTTTAGAATGTTCTTGGATGGAAAAAGTCTATAGAAGCAAAACCAGAAAAAAAAACGTAATCTGAAATCGGAATCAACGGCTTGTGTGGCGAATAACAATTTGACACTACTTAATTGTGTTGGATGAAATACCATTATGAAAGAAGAAGAGGAAGATACCCCAGTTTGACATAGTACATTTGACAGCTGCCGTAGGAGCCCATATCCTGACATGACATAAACATGTATCTGTAGTTACTACCTCATACTCTAACGGGACATAGACATAGATATGCAAACATCAGCAGAAAAGAGGAGATAACGCTGAAGATCAGTCGTTGGTTTCTACATTTGTCGGCCCTTAAACAAGCAGAACAGTGCAGAGAGTTCTGAATATCAGTCGTTGACTTCCCTAAACATACAGATCAACGCAGAGATCTCTGAATATCAGTCGTTGATTTAAGATGAAGCTGATGATAAGCGGCCGTAGCTTGTTTTATAATTTTTACTTTGATTATACATATATATCGTCTTCGAACAAAGTGCATATACATGATACCAAGGCTGTTTAGTAAATAGACCATCCATTTCTATCGTTTTTTAAAATGTCTTTTAAAAGTTGATCCTTGCGACGCCAAATCATTTTCTTCAAGAACAATTCAGCCTGCTGTAAAGTAAATATGGCATTAATAAACATTTAATTAATTAATATTCAATCTTAAACACAAGTTATGTATTTTTCTAATAATTTTGGAAATGCTTTGTCTAAAATCATCTTAATAGAGTCGAGTTATTAAATAGTGATGCATTTTTTTCTAAAGTGGATCTTGTGGCTAGCAGTCTAACATTAGAATTCCTGGGCTTCGAACAGCCTTGTGATGACTGTTACAAAGATAGTGTAGTGTATGCGGCGTTTAGAGAGCATCAGACGGTGTCAGGATTCAATGAAACGTTCCAGCTGTTCGTTGACGTGTGCATCACGGGCAACTGTAAGAAGTCTGGGAGCTCATGGATGGCGGTGAGTTGTTTTTTACCTGACCATTAGCAAAACGGTGAGATTTCAGACGTAGTGTAGAGTATATGTTATGTCTCGCACCAAAAGGGTATTTGTAAGATTTCATGCATGGTGTAGTGAATCTGTTATGTCTTGTTGCAAATGGTATTTGTAAGATTTCATGCATGGTGTAGTGAATCTGTTATGTCTTGTAGCAAATCGTATTTGTAAGATTTCATGCATGGTGTAGTGAATTTGTTATGTCTTGTAGCAAATGGTATTTGTAAGATTTCAGGCATGGTGTAGTGAATCTGTTATGTCTTGTAGCAAATGGTATTTGTAAGATATTAAGATTTCAGGCATGGTGTAGTGAATCTGTTATGTCTTGTAGCAAATGGTATTTGTAAGATTTCAGGCATGGTGTATAGAATCTGTTATGTCTTGTAGCAAAGGCTCATTCGTTTGACTATTAGCTAAGGGTACTAGTAAGATTTTTAAGCAAAGGTGTAGAAAATCTGTTTTACTTGCAACAAATGGTACTTGTAAGATTTTAGGCATGGTGTAGACAATCTGTTTTGTCTTGTGTTTTGTCTTGTAGCAAAGAGCACTTATGAATCGCAGGTAGGGCATAACGAATTCGATTTATTTAGACAATCAGCAATTATCACAAGAACGCATGCATGATGTTATAATCTATTTTTGGTTTCGATATCGCTAGCTCTAGCACTACTCACCACAATAGCACCACTTAATGCCAGTAGTTCTATTCCCTAGGCATGCAACATCTAAATTTTTTCCAAATACTCCACGAGTTTTTTTTAGTATTCAGTTATCATACTTTCAGACAAAATCCCTATATTTTGTGTATTTGTAAAAAAAAAATTTTTTTTTATAAACCTTACATGATTAGGCCTATCTTTTTAAAATGTCATTAACAGATGATTCTTTTTAAAAAAAGTCTTTTTTTTAGGTGTATATATCGCATTTTTCAGCCTTTCTAACCATATTTTATTTCAGAAACACCAAACGTTGCTAATTTTGAGCGTTATACTCTTATGCAATTTCTTTTTTCAAAATCGTGAAATATTTATGTTTAAATAAACCAATAATTATTCATATCTGTGGTTTTTCAAATTCTCCGATTCCCAAATGAATTTTAAGTAAAGTCTTTCATCCACACTATTTTTTTCTCTTGGGGGGGGGCACTTAAGATATTCGGGGGAGGGGGTGGACTAAAATTTCCGGAGGGGGGGGCGGACACTGTTAAAAGTATATATTTTCTATATAAATTCCATTTCGTTCGGTTGAAGGGGGGGGGGGGGTGCCTAGAAGAAACACTGGTCTAACTTTGACGTCCACCCACTATTTCCACTTTCCAGGCGTGTCACATGCAGAGCTTCCCCAGCACCACCCTCCAATGTCCGCATGTTGACGAGAATGGCTTGTTCACGTGCAGCTGTGAGTGGGACGAATCCATCATTACCATAGACATGTCCCATGTCGGCGCCACCGTCTACAAGACAGCCAGTCTCCAGCTACGGATGGCCAAGACAGCGCTGTCCTTTTCTAAGGAAAATGTCCTGAAACGGAGCGAAATTTTTGACGTGGCCCCGGCTTTGAGTAAGTTTTGAGGAAAATGTCCTGAAACGGAGCAAAATTTTTGACGTAGCCCCGGCTTTGAGTAAGTTTTGAGGAATATTTTCTGAAACGTGGCGGAATTATTGAAGTAGCTAGAAGTTTTGAGTAAGTTTTGAGGAACATTTTCTGAAACGTAGCGAAATATTTGACGTAGCCCATGCTTTAAGTAAGTTTGTAAGTTTTGAGGATACTTTTCCGGAAAGTAAAAATGTTTTGACGGAGTCAAAAGCTGGTTTGAAAGAAATGTCTTAGTACGTACCAAAACTCCACAGCAGCAATAAAGTAATGATGTTACTGTAACTTAAGTAATTAAAGGGCTGTGCATGGCCATGGTTCTTCTTTGTTTGACTGGAACCCAACCACCGGTAATTCTTGGATTCTGAGATTTCATATGGAAAGATGTCTAGATTTGAACTCTAGACTTGTTTGATGGTAGCAGTGCCGGTGCCAAGTTATTTAGCGCCCTAGGCAAAAGTTATTAAAAGCTCCCTCCCCCCCCCCCGCAATTTTTTCGTGCCCCAGTATTATTATCAGAGACGTAGCGACCCTTCCCGGCGCCCGGGGACAAACTTTCGATTTGCACCCCCCCCCCCTAAACTTTTAATTTGTTTTTCAAACCTATTTTGGCACCCCCTATGGACAGCTCCGTAGGCGACCGCCTAGTTCGCCTTACAGGTAGCGCCGGCCCTGGATGGTAGCCGTATGCCCTATCACAAGACAACGGTGTCACTTGATAAATACACTACAAAAGCTAAGATTTAAATCTTTGTCACCTAATTTTCAATTATTGAAGAAGTCTCTGAGGGACGAAGCGGCCTAGCAATAGAGCGCTAGACTGCTAACCGGAAAGTCTCGATTTCGAATCTAGTTTCAAGTTTATGGAATGTCCATGAGTTTTTCATGTTAACAATAGCGCGCTATCACTCAATCATACACTCACCAAACTTTTTATGCTACAATTAGTCTATTTTTCTACTACTCTTTACGTGGATAGCGTGGTTGAGAGATAGTCCGCGTGCTTGCGAATTTGAAGCTCGTTTTTTGTGACCCCAGATCCAGCATTGTTGGCAAACCAAGTAGTCATGTAAAAAGGTCAAAGACTCATATGAACTGGCATGAATGTTGCTTGACTCTGTATCTTGTTTGACGTTGAAATCTATCTGGCGAGGTCATAATCTATACCTAGTTAAATTAGACCTGGATGTAAAAAGGGGTATATTACTAAAAATTAAATTAAATTATTTAAATATTTGGAAAAAAAATCAAGTATAAAGTATAAACTAAACCAAAGTTTTAATTCATTTTGTATTTTGCTATTATATTGAACAGGATTGATCAGCAATAATAAGACCAACATGCAGATCATAGGTTTCAAAGATATCAACACGGTCAAGGCCATTTTTGAAGGTAACAACGACTACGGAGCCTACGGCGACTGCTATCGTCTGGTGGTTGATACGTGTTTTCAAAAAAGTTGTTCAGACTCTCCGGGTATGTGGAACACGGTGAGTCAGCCCGTGTCTTAAATACACTGTGATAGATTGTAGAGGTCTAGCTAAACTATTGCCCTAATCTTAGACTTAGACCTCAATCCTAATCTTGATCCTAATTAAGTCAGATTAAGCCCGTTGGCGTTGTTAGAGACTTAACCTAAACCCTTGTCCTTGCAAGATTTCGAACCTAGACCCGCACACTAATCCTTCTCCGAATCTTGGCACCAAGTGCAACAACGGCATACAATACTGGCAATAAATAATAGCATATTTCAGTAGTTTAGTTTGAAAAAAACGTTCCTTTTATTTCACAAGTTGATATTGAATTGATGCAGATTTTTGTTACACTTAAATTGTCTTTATTCTTATTTCTTATTAATAAAGTTATGGTTAAAGTTAATATTGAATTGATGGAGTTTTTTCTTACACTTAAATTGTTTTTATTCTTATTTCTTATTAATAAAGTTATGGTGAAAGTTCATGCTGGGGTTAGGGCCAGTGCTAAATATTCGGGCAGTGTCACTCGTAAATCATATCCTGGAATAGGCCAATGCGTTTTTTTTTTAAACACGACAGTCTAAACTGCAGACGTTCCCATATAGGCGAAGACTATAACAAGCGGTTTTAGGAGATGTTTTATTTTCATCTCTGCAAAGAAATACCTCTCAAGAAGTAGACGTGCAAAGAACACCAAAGCACACAAAATTAATTTTAAAAGACATCAGTTTCAGTTTTGCAAGATGATGACCTGCAGAAACCTCAATCCCACAACCCATGCAAGCAGTTTTAAAGTACACGTTTTTCTTTTATAGTATTGCAAGCTGCAGACGTTCCCCTGCAAGATGATGACCTGCAGAAACCTCAATCCCACAACCCATGCAAGCAATTTTAAAGTACACGTTTTTCTTTTATAGTATTGCAAGCTGCAGACGTTCCCCTGCAAGGTGGTGACCTGCAGAGACCTCAACGAGACATCCTCCTCCTCAAACTGCAGATGCAGCGATACTAGCAGCGAGGTAGAGATCAACATCACAAGCCTTACCCCACGGAAACTAACTGCCGGATTCCTCAGACTTCGGCTAACGCAGATGAAAAGACCGACGTTGACGTCGTACGATCTGAAGATTGGCAGGAGCTTTGATCTCGTTCATGCAATCAGTTAGTTGTTTTTGCGTTATTTAAAAATTGTGGGTCATAGAAGTTTGGGAATGGAGGAGAAAGTGAAAGGGTGGTATGCATATTGGGGAGAGATTTTGTCTCGTTCGGGCACTCAGTTATTTTTACTTTCTCGTATAAAAGAAGTATAGAGAAAGTCTTGTAATCGTGCAAAAAATAAAATCGAGATTTTTGTAAATCTCGACGTTTTACACCACCCTGAGTCGGAAAAACATAGTTTTGCAATCTTGTCCTTATGTCTGTGTGTGTATGTGTGTCTCTGTGTGTAAAGACACGATAACTTGAGTACCGTTACAACTAGGCTGATGCAATTTCATATATAAGTATTATATTAAATTTGTAGATCCGTATCAACTTTTGAGCGATTTCCGATAACCGGAAGTGGAACCTTTTCTACTTTCAATTTTTCAAAAGCCTATAACTTGAGTACTTTTTCAGATAGATAATTGAAATTTAACATGTAACTAATAGATCAAATTCTCTGCCTTCTGTCGAATTTCGAGTAATTTCCGTTGATAGGTAGTAGTAGTTTTCGCTATTTCTGATTTCTCAAAAACGCATGTAAATATATAAAGTACTAATAATATTCTGCACTATTATGCACATTTTATTTGGCGTTCATTTGGTGTGCAATTCTTTTTTCTACGAGATTTTATTCTATTTTAAAAAGTTTAAGTATTTAAAATGGATTAAAAATCATGTCTATAGCCCGAGTTGACATCCCCTGTTGTTTCATATAAGAATATGCGAGAAAGTTTAGGGGAGATTACTCCCGGTTTTATTGCTTTTCTTTAAGCAATAGATCAATATTTAAACTTATGAGTGATAGAAATTCGGGAATGGAGGAAAAAGTGAACGTGTTAATTCAGACAAACACGGATTGTTGGAAATCAATTCATCTGTTTTAAAGTGTATTTTAGTTTGATGCTCTGTTCAGGTACCACATGATCGATATTATAACAGCCCCACAATATTTGTTTTACAAGACTTTACTGACAAAATTTGCAAATCTCGCACAGGCACACGTCGTTGTAACAAAAATATTTTCCCCTGCAGAAGAGTATGCCCTCTCCCTAATCAAGATGGAGATTCTAGGTGTGCAAGAATGCGTTCGGTGCTCCGAGCTGAGCAACCTTTTTGTGACCTTCGAGATTAAACCCTCGCACCGAGAATTTGTCGAGTGTCTAAAACTATACGTGGACGTCTGCATCTATGGCTGCCAAGAAACTTCTGGAATCTGGAAAGAGGTAAGGGCACATCTTCCAAATGAAAACATTGATGTCTAAAATTTAGAAAGTAAAATTACATTGAATTACAA